CATGGCCAACGGTGACATAGCTGACTGCATCCCTCCGCGCTTTCTCCCCCCTCCCATCCTGTCCGGATTCAATAAACACTCATTGCACCGCCAAGAGACCAGTACTATCGATCCCATCCTCTCCCCTCTTTTCTCATGACTAATTCGCCTGTAAACATGAACGTGATCTCTTGCAGGTTACTTTTTACCCCTCTTTTTACAAATGTTATGGTCCGAGGAGAATTTATCGAAGGCTACGTATACTCGCCAGATATTCCTCTGAATTCTCTGATGGGAAATCTAGCAATTTTAATGCATAAGTTTCTTTAATTTAATTATTTGATCATTTCCAACACAACTAAATATTCATTTACACTCGCTGACCAAGTATTAAATGCTTGGCCACAAATTACGTTAGGTTTTTGGGCGGGAGTAATAGGTATTTGGGCCACCTTACGAGACAGTTTTGCGGTTTCATCTAAGTAGACCTTACTCATACTCCCTCCCTTCGCTCCGGTATCAGTTGCTAAACGCCCTATTTATTGGTGGGTCATTCAAAAGCTTTCCAGCGTTAGTGATTGAGAGACGGAACGCAGGAAGGGGATTCAGAAAGTTTATAAAAATCTGCTTAGATTGGGTCCACTTAATGCTTTGTTAAGGCACTGCTGACAAAAGGCTGTCCCGGAACCATGTACCCTCGGTAGTACCGCTGAGGAATAGGTAGGTGGATGTTGATGACAGGAGGGAAGAGATACTAGGAGGGACGGTGGGATAGCGGGTTGGGCAGGAGGAGAAACAAAGGGCGGAAGACCAGAGGCGAAGTGTCCGGAAGAGCAGATTCAAGCCGGTCAACGCTAATGACCGCCAGTGTCGCGCTGGAGGCGGTGAATATTCGCCTCTCACGAAATGACATGGAAGAGGCCTTCTTAGGGTGGTTCCAGGGGCGGCCGAACTCGATCACGTCGTAGAAATACGTGAGAGTGTGTCGCCGAATCTTTCTCGAGATAAGACATGTAGATAGTAGGCCTGGGCGGAACCGAGGAGAGCATCCGTAACGACTGCCGGAGGTGATGCAGAAGGTTAGTAGGATCCTCGACCGCACCTTGAAAGGACGGCGAGATCATTTCATCAGGATTCGGACGCTGGCGCCGAACACCAGTTCAGCGGCCACCTTGAGGAAGGAGCGAATGCCCAAGAGGATCAGGGGGTGTTGGTCCATCCAGTTCTCCGGATCGGC